GAACAGCTGCATCCTACCCTAAAACACTCATGCCTTTGATCCTGCAATGTCACCGCATGTGATTGTGTTCCATTTCAGCCGAGTCGCGTGAATGCATTACTCTTGAAATGTGTATGATCTGAGAGTCTAAACCAGATTAGAGCCTAATCAAGCCCCCTCATTTTTCTCTCTAAACCTATCCAACAGCCACAAGTAGTTTCCACTTAACTTCTTACACTCATTCCTTTCATTCAGAGTGTTGGCTGTTTTGTGGATTTCTATTGCCTCCCTAATCTTTCGCTTACTGGTTGGTACCGTCTCCATATCCAGCTGAGCGTTTGGCATCAGACTAATCTATCTGGTGTCCTGTGCAAGCCATGTGTTTGGCCACTTCCGATTTTTGGACCCACATACCCTTGCAGGCCGTTTTGTGTTCGGATAACCTCTTATATATAGACATACAGGTCTCTCCCATATAGGCACTGCCATATAAACACAAAATATTGTAACAACCAATCTACAATCACATCGCCAAGGCAATACCCAACTTACAAATTCCTTCCACTCCCCTCTCCAAGCGAAATGAAAGATATTCCAACATACATTTTAATATTTGTTATTGTCTGTTTGATTTGTCTTTTTTTACCAGAGTGGCTCGAGGCGAACTTCGCAACGGTTTTGCTCTTGTTCGCCCTCCTGGGCATCACGCTGAGCCTGACGCTGCCATGGGCTTCTGTTACTTCAACTCCGTCGCCGTGGCTGGTCTGAGTCTCCTGAAAAACCGGCTTGCTCGTCGTGTCCTAATCCTCGACTGGGACGTACATCATGGCAACGGGACACGACTAGCTACTAGCCGACATCCCGGTCTGGTTTACCTTAGTCTGCATCGCCATGACAATGGTACGTTTTTTCCTGGAACCGGGGCAGTTGGTACGCAGGTTTCACCTGGACCATCAGCCTCAGCTGGGGCTAGAAGTGGTTGTCAACTTGACGACCCTGTTATTGCCACTTCTACAAACAAAGCTGTTACGATGTCGACCGCAAAGTGGCCCAGCAGTCGAGATGTGGACGAGGGTGTTTTTTGTGCGCCTCGAAGGACTGCTTGGCACAAGTACTGGCGTGACTGCACTGCAGACTGCGAAGAGCCTGAAGACGAAGAGGAGGAGGATGACGAAGAAGACGAAGAAGACGAAGAGCCCTACCATGAAGCCAGCAAGGAAGTTGAGCACAGACTACCCGCTCCAGATGGACATTTCTCTACTAAAACACCAATTCATTTGGCTCCGTGTCCGATCGCTTCATCACACGATCGCTGCATCCCCGACAATCGTTGCGCCACCGTCACTGCCATGGAATCGTCTACAATGTCCAGTCTTGGAAAGTCAAATGACGTCCGACCAGCTGAAATACATCGAACTTCCCTTCCTCAACTTCAGCCCAGGTCGTTGCTGGGTAGAGTTGAGCTTTCACAGGCATCGGGACAGAGAAGATCGCCACAGATGGAACGTGTGCTCAATCTTGCCTGGGGGAGAGTTTCCGATGAGCCAGTGTGTCGGTATCATCACTTTTGCCGGACTGGCGAAACATTAGATGCAATCGGCAGACGGGAGAGCTGGAGAAAAGTAAGATTTCTATTTCAGAATGCTGTTTATTAATTAGAATTTTGTTCTTGTTTATCATAGTTCCCCTTTGTAGCGACGCTAACGTCCTAACTTTGTATTTGTGTTATATGAGAAAAGGATAACAATATTTCTAAAGGAATGAAAACCAAGATGGTGTGGCTTTTTGTATGGTTGCAATCTCCTTTCGTTGTATAGAAGTTGTTTGGCCTTGTTTTCGCAACTTGGTTCTATTGGTAGGAAGACTTTGAGGAACTCACCCTATCCGGACTCCAATGCATGCATGATCATTTCCAAAGTCAGACCGTGGACGTGGTACATTCCCAGACATCTTAGTCGGCATCTTCAGAAGCACTACACCACACTAAAACTCATCGAAGAGACGAATTGTTTAGCAGACAAATGGTCAAATGATTGGCTTCACTTGTGTCTTTGACGAGTTGTTGTGTGGTGCTAAGAATGGCAAGACTCACTGACGACGTCGGCGAAACATCTAAGAATATATCAAGTACAGGGTCTGACTCTGGAAGTAATCATGAATACTATGGACTCCGAATAAGGTGGGCTCTTCTAGGTCTTCCTACAAATATGGCGGTTGCGAAAACAAGTTCAAGCAACTTCAATACTTCTAAAGTTTTTCGTTTGTAATCACAATTTTGGGGCTACCGCTGACGATGTTGATAAGACCTAGGGGAGGTTGAAACTGCAGTCAACTTTGTTCGAAGAAAACTTTTGGGGAAGCAAGGCCATGCGAAATTCGATGGAAACATCAGCTCTACTCATATCATTGTGGGATAGTTCAACTTTCAGTTCTTCATTATCTTAAACAAAATAGGATAAATACATCTCATAATACTTTAAAAATACTGTTGTACCATAACAGCCTTACCTGTTACGCCGCCGATGTAACGTATTTCAGGTTAATTTAGCATACTTGTGTCTGCGTGCTTATTTTTTTTATTCGAAACCTCGACTTTGCGCTGTCTGAATTATCAGAAGGCACGAATATGCAAAGACTTTAATTTTAGATTCTACATGTTAGGCTTCTGTCATGTTCTTTTAAGTATTTTAAAGTTTACACTATGCCTTAATCGCTTAGTTAATGAGTCTTCAACGATTTTGTACGTTACCTATAGATTTATTTTCAGCCCTTTCCTGATAGGAGCCTTCCTATAAAGCTTTATTTTATGAAATTATAGTGACCTATTCAAATACTTTTCGAATTCCTTTTTTAGTTTTGCTATGAGTAGTCTCGAAACCCTGCTTATAAACGAGAAATACTCTTATAGTAGGTGTTTGACCTTTTTTTCGCAACTTGGTTGTATTGACAGGAAGACCTAGGAGAACGCACCTTGTCTGAAGTCCATAGTATCTATGATAATATCAAGAGTCGAGCCATGGACTTTGTACATTCCCAGACGTTCCGCCAGCATCATCATTGAGTCTTGTCATTCTAAGCACCACACTGCAACTCGTCAAAGAAACAAATGAAGTCAATCCTGTATTACTCGAGGCTTTATTTCCCACATTCTGTCTCAAGTCTTTTATAACATGTATACTCCTGCCTCGTGGAGTAGGCCGGCAAAGTCTGGATTCACAAGCTGGATGGGAGACTAACTTGAGGATATAGATCCCGAGTAATTCTCATCGTCAAGCCTTTGCTTCATGGAGCGCATATATGATCAAATTGTTAGCCAGCTAGCTCCAGTCTTCGCAGCATCTATCGTGTTTCTATACGTAATGACAAGTCTATGACTTCCAATGCCCTAGTCGCTTTTGTGCCAACCCACAAATGTTGTGGTTCTACTTGTTTTGATTAGGCTCACTGTAGACGTGTCCTCTTGGCTTCTGCCTGTTCCTTTCTGGTCTTTTTGCGGTTTATTTTCATAATATAAAAGATTTTAACTTGATTCATTCATTTCCTTTTTGCCGACCTTACTGCTGTCTGATCTTCTCTGAGTTTGCTCAGGCAATATGCAAAATCTTTGCTGATCCTGCTTTCTTCAAGTCTTCTGTTCATTAGATTTCTTTCGTTTAATATATTGACGGCCTCTCGTGGTCGGTGCTGAATTGGACAACTTTCTGAGCTCGTCATTTAGTAGAGTAAGCCTTCTCTTCGACTCCTCATGACTTTTTCGCCATTCTACACTACGTGGCCTTGTAGAATAAATAATATAAGAATTCTCTAGCCTAGTTCTGACCAATTGACATCAGATTGATTCACCTGGCACCACTAAACTGGTGATCCATACCTATCTGTGGCCTCAATTCATTAGCCAAATGCTTATATACATTGTTATATCACATAAATATAGGCAACAAGCCTAAAGCTCCAGAGTTTGATCGACTCACAATTCGTAAGAACATCCCTGAAATCCAACTAGTGATCGTCTGAACAATATACCACTCTCGTTTACATAAATGGGTGAAAAGCTTATGATACTTTGTGGACTCAAAAAATTAAAAACATTTTACGATTTACTTTGATCGTGCTATTACCATCAGTATTATTTTGCGAATAACATACTTTTATTTCTAAGTACTTAATTTAAGTTTTTTTTACCTCTATTTTTAGTCTTGTATCCGATCTCCCGTGCAGTCTTCCCCACAGGCAGTTGGCATCCCTCTTGACAATCAAACCGGCACAAAGGGTCTGGACGATTTGGCACTCGAATTAGGCGCCAATCTGCCTAAAGATCCGCCTGAAGCTGTATTGCCAAATCCGCCTGCCTCTGTCGGTGGGAGTACATTTTGCGCCGTCAGCAACGGCAGTGGCGACTTTTCGTATGCCAGTTCGTCGACTTCCGGCTTCGCATCGCTTACCTCCTCCTCGTTCTCCGACTGGGCCACTCGTAGCACCAGCCTCAGCTCGGCTAGTGCTGCCAGTTTCACCAGTTGCGCCAGCAACCAGTGCGCTTGTAACATGTGCAGCCAACAGGGCAGCTGCCCATCAGGCGCACCGCTGCATCTGGGACCGCCGAGTCCCAAACACGACAGACCTCCGGAGTCTGGTGGTGCATCGGATTTGAGGGCTGAAATCCCCTTTTCATCCTCTCAGAAGCCTCAGATTCTCACTCTTTCGCCTTTCCTCAAGCATCATCCTCCCTCCTCGTTGGATTGTATTCATCTTCATCATCGTCAACAGCACAAGGAGCATTTTCACCATCGGCAGGCACCCTTTA